TCAGTCTGGAGATACATCTGTACCTCGTGACCTGATCTTTCCACCTCTTTCTGCCTGTAAATAACATTCTTGTTTGTCCTGTCACATACTCCATTTATTATTTTGTAACTTTAATGTGTCTTACAAGTTACTAACTTACTTAAAATCTATATTTAACATTTTTTATAAATCCTGCCTGTCTCACAAGCTACTGGCTTATACATTATCTGTAATTAACACATTCTATGAGTTTCACCTGTATCTCATAAGTTACTAGCTTACCTGTTATCTAGGCTTAATACTTCTTATGAGTTTCAAATATCTCATTTGTTTGTCTTACCATGTGTGGAAGAATTGAATATTCTCAAATAATACAGCAAACACGTTATTTCAGTCAACAAGAAAAACAAGGAAGTGAAAATTATATGTCCCCCCTACCCCCACTTAAGGACTTTGACAAACATTTCTGCTTCTATTCCACTGGTCAGAACTTACTCACATGGACATACCCAGCTTAAAGAGAGATAAGGAAAAGCAGTCTTTATTTTGAGAAGTCATGAGCCTAGATAAAAACTGGGTATTCTGTTACAAAGAAAGGACAGGAGGAAGAGATGGTGGAGGACAATTGGTAATTTCTATTATAATTAGTAAAAAAACAAAATAGCAATAACGATCAATCTGATGTAGAGACTATAGCTAAAGCCCTCATGTCTGTAATTGGTCATGAGGCAATAGCTCGTATTTATGATTGATGACTTACATCTCCCTTTAGCTACACTGTGTGTTCCTTGCCTTCTGGCAGCACTTAAGCTTGCACTGTTTTCTCTTCCCTTTCCTCTCTTCCCTTGCCTACTCACCCCACCCCCAGTTGAGTGACTCACACCTTCAATTCTGAGGGTAATGAATCATTTGTGATCCTGCCTGTACATGTCTCTGGTACTCTGGTACCACTAGATAATAGTAAAAAAGAGATGACCTCAGGAGTTCCCTAGGATTCTTGCTATACTTTTCATTTCTCCTTTATAATCATGATCCATCATCTAGCTAAAGTCATTACCTTCTTTTCTGCCTCTTGCTTTGGTGGCATAAGGAGCAAATGGCAGTTTCTTCTTTAAACTTATTTCTACTATTACCACATCCCATCTTCTCCTCAGTTACTAAGATTTGAGAGCTGAAAAGTCCGTTGTTTCAAGATCAGGAGAGAAAAATTCTGAAACTTGATCATTAGATGTCATCATGAGCAGTGCCACTCTCTAGTACATTGCTAGTCTCCTAGAATCTCATTCCTTACTATGGGAGAGAAAGTATCATTTTGGGTCACTGGTTCAGAACATATATCACATTCTGCAATACTGGACTCTAACTTTTCAAAATGAGGTTCCCAATCTGATACCTGATTGGATTTTCAATAAAATATTCCACTTTCTTATATACCTAACTTGTGGGCACAAGAAAGTATGATAACGATAAATACCCTGGGCTTCAGCCTCATTTCTTTTGCCGTGAAGAATGGTCTGAGGCAATGTGGCTAGAATATCATAGTGGTGTATAATGCATCCAATAAATTTATAGATGATGGCACTATAACCATGGAAATGAATACACACCAGAGGGAGTCTAGGTGAGAACAAAACATTGTCTTCTACATGTCAGGAAGAGCCTAGTGAAGTTGACCTACAATCAGGTTGATAGCATTCCCCTTAAAGTATGGATGGGCTCTCTCTCTATTTTCCTTCTAATTGTTCTCTGATCACTGTGGCCAACAAGGCCAAGGATGATTGATAACCACAATATGGGTCATACCATCCAACTAAATAACCAGCCATCATGTTTTAGGCAAGGACTCTCTGAAACCTCAGGATCAATTCAGAATCTGATTGGGCCAACTGTGCAACAAATTTATACCAGAGTTCTAACTCTCATATGATCTCTCCAAGCCCATATTCTGACCAGTGGAATTAGTGATGTCTTGGGTCCTAAGGACTTACTATCTTAGGTCATATTCAGTATCAAAACTTCATAAAAAGTTTTGCTATTTGCCTTCTCCCAGTGTATGATATTATATCATCTTTTCTGTGGGGTTCGTCATCTCTCATTCCTTCAGATGTCCTACTTTTATAAACTTCTTTAAATCAGAGAACTGCGTCTGTGCCTGTCATTCTATTCTGGTGATTTAAAGCATTCTTTGTTAGGACCAGTGTTTTTCTAAAATACACATTAAGAAACATCTTAGCAAGCTAGTTGTCAAATTTTTCTTGTAAATACCACTGTTCTGAAGCTAAAACCATTGCTATCTGGAGTGAGGTATCTTTCGGTAGCACTTATATTACAGTGCCTAATTGTCTGCTGCTTTTCTTTTAACCTCAGTAACTGCTGTGCCTGAATCATTACACCTGTTTTATTTTCTTAAAGTTGCCACTTGGGCCAAGCCAACCCCAAATCCTCCCAATAATATAGTTACCAATAATCCTATTTTGGTTTCTGCCTCCATATCAGTTGGTATAGAAAACTAGTTTTCTGTTCCTATTCTCAAAATTATATGGTCCATGTGCCTAAGAATTCCTTGGGAAGTCTGGGTAAAAAAATGCAGACTCCTGAGCTGATTTCAGTTCTATAGAATCAGAGTGTCTGCATACAGGGCCAGGAATCCTCACTTTAACAAGTTTCTTAGTGACCCTCATGTACTATGAGAACAACTGCCTGGACGGCTGTTTATCACTTGACTCCAAATGGCTAGAGAGAGCGGTAAATAATTGAACCTTGATTTATGAATTTGATGGGGCAGTGAAGAACCAGTGTAATATTCCTTCTTGGGGAAGATTTGTATTCCTTTTCAGCATAAAACCAGATAAAGAAAGTGAGACAAAAAAGGGTTAATCACAGATTAGCAGACCTAGGTTAGAGCTAGAAGGAGTTATGCTGCCCTCTTAACCACTGCTCTATGCTGAAAAAGATAGGGTCTTTGGGAAGACCGAAGAATGTGTACTTCAAAACATATAACTGGGCCAGCCCTGTGGCGCAGCGGTTAAGTGTGCATGTTCTGCTTCTCAGCGGCCGGGGGTTCACTGGTTCTGATCCCGGGTGCGGACATGGCACTGCTTGGCATGCCATGCTGTGGTAGGCGTCCCACATATAAAGTAGAGGAAGATGGGCATGGATGTTAGCTCGGGGCCAGCCTTCCTCAGCAAAAAGAGGAGGACTGGCAGTAGTTAGCTCAGGGCTAATCTTCCTTGGGGAAAAAACAAAACAAAACATATAACTAAGTTGTAGTTGACTGTAACAACCAAAAGTAAGTTTTGCATATGATACAGGTATAAATAAATGTAAAAAATTATTCATATTTATTTGTGGGGAGGTATGGAGTGTGAGAGTTATATTAGAACCTCATCTGCCTCAAACTCCATTTCTCCATTTTTAGAAACTCAGCTAAAAGCATTCCCATTGAAGAAACATTAGTATTTACCTGCTTAAAAGGAAATTAAAGGTGTTAGAATTCTTGCCTTTGCTAATAAATTAAGGGAAAATTCTCAGTGAAAGCAATTTTATTTATTTATTTATTTATTTATCTATTTATTTATTTTTATTTTAAAGATTGGCCCTGAGCTAACATCTGTTGCCAATCTTGCTCGTTTTTGTTTTGTTTTTCTCCCCAAAACTCCCCAGTACATGGTTATATACTCCTAGTTGTAGGTTCTTCTAGTTCTTCTATGTGGGACACAGCCTCAGCATGGCTTGATGAGCTGTGCCATGTCCGCGCCCGGGATCCAAACTGGCGAAACCCTGGACCACCAAAGCAGAGAGTGCGAACTTAACTAGTCGGCCACAAGGACGGCCCCAAAAGCAATTTTAGATGACCTACAGTCTCCACCTGGCTTGGGATCCTAGCAATTTGCAAAAATGTGGCAGAAGTAACTAAGAAATAAATGAACGTCTAGATAAGAAATAAATTTGAACTAATATTTTTTTTCACACTTTACTCTGGTTCTCTTTCTTGTTAAGAAAAATTATCCTGAACTTGGAATTAAAGCAAAAGATGGTTGCATATCCGTTCGATGTTATACTTTATCCTGTTAACAGGATCTCTCTAGTTCTAGGATTATTTAGTTACTATGGTTTAAGACTGTGAAGGTACATATCACCTTGTAGATTTTTTTTCCTGGCAGAGATAGAAATAATTAATGTTCTGTAGAAAAGATACCATTATAAGTTATAGCATTATTGGCCAGTAGGAATTTAACCACTTTTGTCTTAAACTTAACAAATTTATTTCAATATGTCTTTCCTGATGATTTATTATATAGTCCTTAATTTCTCTAATTTTCCCTTAAATCAACTTTACAATCCTGCTAGTTCCCTCTTTAAAGAAATAAATTCTTGATGGTGTCATTCTATGTGTGTTTGAGTCATTTTTAACTTTTTGGAAATAAAATTATACTTTGGCAGTTACGGAAGTTGTTCCACCTAGAGGCCCAAGTGGATTCACCCGCTCACGAGAGCCAGTGAAACTGTCTTGCTCAGGACGTGCACCTCATGGGTTATTTAAGGCATTTCTCTTTTTGATCTTTGGAGTGAATTCCAAGCAGCAATGTAATCTTGCCTTCACTGACTGTCCTGCGTCTCGCTCTTTTTTTTCTGACTTTGTTTTGTTTTTGTTTCTGAATTAAATTATAATTTAAATTATTAAATTATAAGTTGAATTATAGTTCTGACAACTTTTTCATATCAATAGTAATTATGTTCCGTAGCATGTCGACTTAAACAAAATCTCCAAGACCCTTAGTTAACTTTACGACACTAATATTAGTAAATTAATGGTTCATCTTTGCTTACCCGGATAATTTCTGAATATGATAGAATAATGAATATTGGTCATTATATATAAAATATATATTTATATATGAAGTATATATACTTTTGCTTCTTATGTTTATATGTTATTAAACAGCTGGCAGTATTCACTTCTGCGGCCTTAAGAAAGTGTTAAAATGATGTGTGTATGTGGCCATGAGGGTCATCACAGATATGCTCCACTGATGTGCTAAAATGCTTACATATAATAGGTCTTAATACTCTACCTCCTGGTTCTCTCTGTGAAATAGCAGTTAGATATATTTGTTTAAAATGTATACATAATATGGTAATAAAGACTACAGGTAGTCATTCCTTTGCACAGTTCTGACATGCATGAATTTTAGTTACCACATTTTATTTTACCATGTGTAACATTTTATAATTTTACTTACTGTGAGATAAGAGAAAATATATATTGGTCTCTGCCACCAAGTTCCTGGCACAGGGCTCCTGAAACCATTGTAATTTCCTGAGTGAAAGGAGTGTCTTTCGTTCTAATGAGGCAACTCTGGGTGGGCACCTGCATGAGGGCTGGTCACGGGAAAGAATAAGTCATAATTAGATGCTTGGAATTTTCAGCCCCTCCCCCTATTCTCTTGAGAAGGAAGAAGGGCTGAAAATAGAGTTAATTATCGATCATTCCTACATGATGAAGCCTCCATAAAAATCCCAATAGTATGGGGTCCAGAGAGCTTCCAGGTCAGTGAACACATCCACGTACAAGGAGGGTGACACACATCAACTCCACGGGGACAGAAGCTCCTGTGCTCCAGACCGTCCCAGACCTCACCCTATGTATCTCTTCATCAGATCTTTCAATAAACTAGTAGATGTCAGTGTTTCCCTGAGTTCTTGCAAACTGTTCTAGCAAATAATCAAGTCCATGGGGCAGGAGGTCATGGGAAAGTCGATTTGTAGCCAAGTCACACAGAAGTTGTGGATAAGCTGGGGTCCTACTACTTGCGATTGACATCTAAAGTAGGGGCACTCTTGTGGGACTGAGCCCTTAACCTGTGGGATGTGATGCTATCTCCAGGTAATAGTGTCAGAATTAAATAGTAGGATGACACCCAGCTGGTGTCGCAGAATTGCTTCATGTGGGGAAAAAACCCCACATGTTTGGTGGCCGGAAGTGTCAGCAGTAAAGCGTCCTGTGTGAAAGTAAAGGAGAAGGGCACAGGAGGAGAACTGAAGGTTTCTGCAATACAGTCACCAAGTGTATTAGTTTCCTAGTGCTGCTGTAACAAAGTGCCACAAACTGAGTGACTTAAAACAACCGAAATTTATTCTCTTAGAGTTTTTCTGGAGGTAGAAGTCTGGTGTCGGCAGAGCCCTCATTCCTTGCCCCTTAGAGCTTCTGGCAGCCCCAGGTGCTCCTTGGTTAATAGCCACATAACTCCAATCTCTGCCTCCATCTTCACACGATGTTCTTCCTACCCATCTTCACGTTGTCTTCTTACAAGGACATGAGTCATGCTGGATTAATGGCCCATCCTATTCCAGGATGACCTCATCTGAACTAATTACATCTACAACAACTCTGTTTCCAAATAAGTTCACATTCTAAAGGACGAGGGGTTAAGACTTCAAATTATTTTTCAGGATCACCATTCAACTCACAGCACAACGGTTTCACTAAATAACACCAGTCCCCCAACAACATGTTTCACATTTCAGTTACCATGGTATATTAACTGTGAGTAATTGCATAAAGTAAAAACCGTGCTGATAGCTTTTGTTAAAAACAAGGCAACGGGCCCCAAATGGAGTTGTTTATTCTAAGCCCCAGATCACCAAGCTGAGACTTGACCGAATTACAGTTTCAGCTCTCCCCGAAATGGAATCTTAAACCAGTCAGTCAGGGATCAGCTGATAGCACTAGTTAGTAATCTGCTGATAGAACCCTGCCATCTCCCAAAGGAAAGTAACCTTGCTGTAACCAACTCACTTTTTTGCCTAGTATAACTTCCTTGTTCCTGCTCCCTTCTGCCTATAAAAGTCTTTCATTTTGTACCGCTCCTCAGAGCTCCTTTCTGTCTGTTAGATCGGATGCTGCCCGATTCAAATTGATTTTTGTTCAAATAAACTCAAAATTTTTAATATACCTCCGTTTATCTTTTAACAGTCTTCAGCACAAAAATCACTATGTAAATAACAGACGCACATCATCATCAGTGACCAATCACGTCACTTCTTCAAAGTCTGTCGGTGACGGATCACTGCGCATATCATAGGAGTAGCATTGCAATAAGCAGCTAACACCCTTAATGCTACAGAAACCAAGGAAAGAGGTTGGAATTATTAAAACTTAAAAGTTTAGAGAAAACTCCATGTAGAGCTAAAATCTAGACTTCTGAGGAATAGGCGCTGAGGGGGCCGCAGTCAGTTGCTGCTGGTGTCTCTGAGGGTATTGGAGGCAAATTAAGTTCATTCTGCTACTGCTGGGAAGTCTGCAAACTAGATTCAGCTGCTTCTACAAGCAGGCACTGCTGCTGCCAGGGTGAAGAAGCATTGTTGGGGTGATGCTCACAGGAACCACAAGGAGACAGGAAGCAGACAGGAAGTGGTGAGTCCTTTCTTCTTCTTCTAGCCTTGCCGTCTCCTTCTAACAAGTTCTGTAGACAGAGCCTAAAATGGAGCCATCTGGCATGCAGATATCTTATTTGAAGAATCCTAGCTGTAGCATCACAGAGCAAAATATAGAAGGGTGGATTTGGAGCTAGAAGACAGTAACTTAATAACTAGTACACTATTCTAGAAACAATAGTGGCAGAGAAATAGAACCAGGTATGCAAGGTAATAGGATGTGTTTTGTTTATCAAGGGAAATTGAAATTAGTTTTGTCCTAATGTCCCTGGTTGACAGAGAATGTGAGAAGAAATCTAATGATGAAACTTAGTTTCAGAAAATTGTAAATGGTGTGCAGAATGTGAACTTTATTTGCAATAGTTTCTAATACCTGCAATGTCTGAAAAGAAGCAATGAATCTGAAAAACAGTGATGAATGTGTTAAAAAAAAACCTGCAAAGTTTGCTCAGTTTTGATGGTCTTATTCAAAAGCAACATTTTATAAGGAGTAATGAATCATTTCCTGCTAAATATTAATGGAAAGTAGAATTTGGTTTTCTTTCTGCTAAAATGCCAAAGTTTAGTCTTGGCAGATTTAGAGGTAGTAAAATGTTATTTAAATTAAAAAAAATTTCTAACTGTGATAAAATACATATAACATAAAATTTACCATCTTAAACATTTTTAAGTGCACAGTTCAGTAGTTTTAAATAGATTCACATTTTTGTGTAAGCAGGCTCCAGAATTTTTCATTATGCAAAGCTGAAACTCTATACCCATTCAAAAACCCCCCATTCTCTCCTCTCCCCAGCTTCTGGCGATCACCATTCTAGTTACTGTTTTTATGAGTTTGACTACTCTACATTCCTCATTTAAGTGAAATCATACAGTATTTGTGTTTTGTGACTGGCTTATTTTGCTTAGCATAATGTTCTCAAGATTCATCCATGTTGTCGCATGTGTCAGAATTTCCTTCCTTTTTCAGACTGAATAATATTTCTTCGTATGTATATACCACGTTTTGTTTATCACTTTCTCTGTTATCAAACATTTCAGTTGCTTCCACCCTTTGGCTATTGTGAAAAATGCTGCTATGAACATGGTTGTACAAATAGCTCTTCAGGACCTTGCTTTTAGTTCTTTTGGATATATACCCAGAAGTGGGATCACTGGATCACATGGTAACTCCATTTTTAATTTTTTAAGGAACCACCATACTGTTTTCCATAGCAGCTGCACCTTTTTACATTCGCATCACTAGTACACAAGCATTCCAGTTTCTCTACATCCTTGCCAAGACTGGTTATTTTCCATTTTTAGTTTGTTTTTCATAGGAGCCATCCTGATGGGTGTAAGGCATATCTCAGTGGTTTTCATTTTTTTATTTGCGTTTCTCTGATGATCAGGGATGTTGATCATCTTTTCATATGCTTCTTGGCCATTTGTATATCTTCTTTGGAGAAATGTCTATTCAAGTCCTTTCCTCATCTTTTAATTGGGTTATTTGTTTATTGTTACTGTTATTGAGTTCTAGGAGTTCTTTATATGTGCTGGATATTTACCCCTTATCAGATGCATGGTTTGAAAATATTTTCTCCCTTCCATTGGTTGCCTTTTCCATTCTGTTGATTGTTTCCTTTGGTGCATAGAAGTTTTAAATTTTGATGTAGTCTGATTTATTTTTTCTTTTGTTGTCTGTGCTTTTGGTGTATATCCAGGAGATTATTGCCAAATCTAATGTCATGAAGCTTTTCTCCTGTATTTCTCCCACATCTGGGAGAAAGTAAAAAGAAGAAGGTAAAAAATAACATTTTATTTTTGCAGAAATAGAAAAAGCCTTCCTAAAACTCACATGAAATCTCAAAAACTAAATTGGGGGGCTGGCCCAGTGGCACAGCGGTTAAGTTCACACATTCCACTTCAGTGGGGGGGAGGTTTGCCGGTTTGCATCCGTGGTGCGGACCTACACACTGCTTGTCAAGCCATGCTGTGGCAGGCGTCCCACATATAAAGTAGAGGAAGATGAGTGTGGATATTAGCTCAGGGCCAGTCTTCCTCAGCAAAAAGAGGAGGCTTGGTGGCAGATGTTAGCTCAGTTCTAATCTTCCTCAAAAAAACAATAAATAAATAAATAAATTATACTACATCAAAATTTAAACTTCTGTGGACCAAAGGAAACAAGCAATGGAATGAAAGCTTTGTGTATGGTGTAAGGTAAGACCCAACTTCACTCTTTTGCATGTGGATATCCAGTTATCCCAACACCATTTGTTGAAAAGACTGTCCTTTTCACATTGAATGGCTTGGGATCCTTGTCAAAAGACATTTGAGCATATATGGAGGGTTTATTTCTGGGCTTTCTATTCTATTCCATTGGTCTGTCTGTCTGTCTTTATGACAGTAACACACTGTTTTGATTACTGTAGCTTTGTAATAAGTTTTGAAATAAGGAAGTATGAGTCCTCCAACTTTGTTTTTCTTTTTCAAGATTGTTTTGGCTATTTGAAGTCCCTTGAGGTTCCATGTGAATTTTAGGATGGATTTTTCTATTTCTGCAAAAATAAAATGTTATTTTTTACCTTCTGCCCAGATAGAAGAGATTCGTTATCTCACTAAAATAATGTTCTGTGGTTTGTGCTGTACTTAATTGTTTTTTAGCGTCTCAATTCTGAAAAAGCTAAAGTTCCTACCAATTGTGTTACCTTCTGCTGTGTTTATTTTTAATTACCGTATTGACACTTTGATTAATAGGCAGCCAAGCTCTAATCATTTATTGTTCTAAGGTATATATGCTCCTATTTAATCAAGTGAGCACATCTCCTCTGATAGTTTTTTATTTTTTTCCTGCCAAGATTAGAGCCTAAATTCAGGAAAAAAACCTCAAGATGTTTTTCACATTTACACTGTGGTGGGGGTTTCCCAGAGGGCCCCTTGGCAATCACAAAGATTTGTTCTTTTATCTTATTGAAAGAGAAATCTAAAACTGAAGTTTATTTGGTATGCTCTAGATTTTGTAATTATTTTCACACTATCTTAAAAAGTGCTTAGGAAGACCTTCCCTGTCAATACAGAAGTGTAACTTTCTCTTGGTTAATTTTATTGTTTTTTACACTTTAAAATAAAAATTGCATATATTTAAGGTGTACAACATTATATTCTGATATACATAATAAAATGATAGCAACAGTCAAGGTAATTAACATATCTGTCTCCTCACATAGTTGTGTGTGTGTGTGTGTGTGTGTGTGTGTTAAGAATACCTGAGATCTACTTTCTTAGCAAATTTCAAGTATACAATACAGTACTATTAACTATAGTAACCATGTAGCACATTCTATCTCTAGAACTAAAATTCATCCTCCATAACTAAAACTTCGCACCCTTTGACAGACATCTCCCGATTTCCCCCACCTCCCTGCCCTTGGTAACCACCATTCTACTCTCTGCTTCTATGAATCTGCCATTTCTAGATTTCATCTATCAGTGAGATCACGCAGTGTGTTTCTTTGTGTGTCTTCACATAATGTCCTCCAGGTTCAGCCACACTGTCACAATCCTGTTGAAAATGGCAGGATTTCCTTCTTTTCTAAGGATGAATAATAGTCTATAGTATATGTATATGACAATTTCTTCATCCTTTCTTCTGTTGACCGATACTTAGGTTGCTTCCGTATCTTGGCTATTGTGAATAATGCTGCAATAAACATGAAACCACAGATATCTCTTTGAGATACTGATTTCATTTCCTTTTTGTATATACCCAGAAGAGGGATTGCTAGATCACATGGTAGTTATATTTTTAATTTTCTGAGGAACTTTCATACTGTTTTCCATAATGGCTGTACCAATTTACATTCCCACCCACAGTGTATAAGAGTTTCCTTTCTCCACATCCTTGCCAACATTTGTTATCTTTTGTCTTTTTGATAATAGCCATCCAAACAGATGTGAGGTGATATCTCATTGTGGTTTTGGTTTGCATTTCCCTGATGATTAGCGATGCTGAGCACCTTTACCTTGATGAATTTTGAAGAGGTAAAGTATTAATATAAATCTGTTTCAGATACTGTGTATACTTTATCTGGAAGACTTGCCAATGTTCTTACTGCCCCTAATATGTTCTTATCTTCAGGAAAACATTGAGCAATATTTAATGAAATTGTTATATATTTTATCCTATAAAAAATTTTATTCTCCATTCTGATATTATTGGCTAGTGTTATTAATTAATCAGAGCCATTGAGTCTTATCATCAACATGTGGTTTCTGTTTTCCTCTCCTGCTTGCCTAAGGGCTTTGCCATATGCTACAAGTACAAATTGGGTCTTCAGCCTCAGAGCCTCAAGAACAGGACTGTCCCATCTACTCTAATTATTAGTACTGCAGTGAATAGACTCATCGGCACAGGCTTCTGAGCCAGCACTGTTTACACCCTGTCAGACTGTACCAGAGGGCTGAACTGTAATTTCCAAATTATTTTTAGATCAGAAGGCATGACTGTGAAAACCTACTAACCCAAGATCCTGTGCAACAAGATCTACATAGTACTGTGTGAACTGATGAGAAAAACCTAATATTTTATTTTGGGGGGAATATTGTTGTATTATTCATAATGTCCTGTTTTCTGTGAGCCTACCAGGAAGCCCTTTCTCTTTCTTCAAATTCTATCTCCAACCCGGAATGGCGTAGACTATGCTTATTAACTGAAATGAAACATTGTTTAAATGATACTTTGTTCTCCCTGACCCCTCGGGCATTCAAGAACAAATACTTCTGCTGAATCTCTTTATTTTGCATGTCAATATAGTAATTTGCAGACATTCAATAAGAATCTCTCCTACTCTCTATCAAGATACACCTGAACAAATCAGCTTTTCTTTCAGGGCTGTACTGGAGTATCGTTTTAGAGAATGAATCTCATTTCATCAGCTGTGACAAGCCTACAATGAAGGAACTAGAATGGTTCTTAATCTGTGGAAACCACACACATAAATGAATCAGGCTGAAATACAATGTCTAGCTTGTAAAAATATATGTTATCAAGACCAATCTTCAGAAACTTTTTCTAATCATAAGGAGAACTAGTAAGAAAAATTATCCAAAACTCAGAAACAAGACAAAAAAATGACTGCATGTCCCTTAATGTCTAACAAACTCCCCCGCCCCCCAGATTATTTAATTTTCTAGGGAATATACTTTTGTGTGATTTAATATTTACTGTTGATCAGAGCCCAGACTTTGTGAAGTTGCAGGTTAAGTTGTAAATTTCTTCAGGGAGAGAGGAAAATGATTTCTTTCCCAAAGAAAAAAATAAATCCAAAGTTTTATTTCAAACCTAGCAAATGTAATTCTGTATGCTTTTCAGATGGACTGTAATATATCCTCCATTCATTTAATTCTCATTTGAACTAACTAACCACCCAACTCACGGGTAAATTAAATAATAATCATTGACACATGTTCATTCTATGTTTGTAAAAAAATCATGTTTTAAAAAATTATACTTTTTTAAAATTAGATTTTGACACTCCCTAATAGCTTCTCTAATTTACCTATTCTAGTTCAAACTACATACTGCTGTCAATCTGATTACCTAAAATACCACTTATGATACTCTCCCCTCCTTGATGAAATATCCTATCGACAGGATAATTTTACTAAAGTCATTAGCCTAGCATACACAATCCTTCACTTTTGAACTCCAGGTGTCTTTAGCACCTTATCTTCCACACAAAATCTCATTTCGGTCAAACAAAAATAAAGTACCTTTTTTTTTTTAACCAATATGTCATAGTAAAACAATGAAATTAAAAAAATCTCATCTGAATTGCTTTATCTGTCCTCTTCCCCTCTTGAAACTTCTATTCCTGCAAGCCAGCTTATTTTATCTTAGCTAGTAACCCCCCGTGGGAAGTAAATGCCTGAACTCTGATAGCATTTAATACAACATGAATAAAGATATATTGTGGTATAATAAAGATATATCTGGTCTTTGTCCCTGGTTCCTGATACAAAGCTTCAAAAACCCTTGGAACTTCCTGAGAGGAGTGTCTTTGTTATACTAGTGGGTAACTTACAGTAGGCCCCTCGATAGCCTCAGGATGGGGACAGGTAACCAGAAAGACCATGTGATTAGAGGATTAGATGCTTTGGCCTTTGAGCCAGCCTGTCCTCCAGGGAAGCAAGAGGGGCTAGAGATTGAGTTAAACATGTGGCCAATGATTTACTCAATAATGTGTAATGAAACCCCAATAAAAACTCTGGACACCAAGTGGAGTTTCCTAGTTGGTGTACACATTGATGTGCTACCTGGAGTCCATGAAGAGAGGCCACAGAAGCTCTGCATTTCCTCCCAGACTTCACCCTATACATGTCTTCATTTGACTGTTTCTGAGTTGTATCCTTTATAATGAAACTAATCCTAAATACAGCACTTGCCTGAGTTGTTCCAGTGAATTATCAAAGTGAGGAGGTTACAGGAACCCCTGAATATATAGTCAAGTCAGTGAGAAGTACAGGTGGGCTGAGGACCTCTGGAACTTGTGGTTGGCAACTGAAATAAGGGCAGTCTGTGGAGGACTGAGCTCTAAACCTGTGGAGCCTGTACTAACTCTGGGTGGTTAGTGTCAGAATTGTATTGCAGTATACTCCATTTGGGATTGCAACAGAGTGTATATCTAACAATGTATTATGTTAATAGCTTACATTTCATGTATGGAGAAAGCATGCTATTCCATTTGTCTGCTTTGGCCGTCTTCTCAGGAATTCTCTCCTATAGGAGAGAACTATGTGGCAGTGGACTATGTGATTTTTTCCCTCTGGGTACAACTAATCAGAGTGGATATATGACCCAGCTGAACCAGTAAGATTCTGTCTTCCAGGAATGTGTATGGGAACACTGAAATGTTAATCCGTTGGTTGGTGGTGCTGGAGCATGAGGTATCTGGCATAGTAAGTACTCAATAGATTTTTGTTGAATGAATAAATGAGAAGTTTCTGTAACTATAGGGCTTGGGGGCGATTTCCTCATGTACATAGAAAAACAGAGAAAATCAGTCTGCTGAAAGAGGTGAAAAGCAGAGACAAAAAGGTCACATGAATCTGGAGAGCTGGTGAGATGACCCACTTTGGGCTGCTGAAGATTTTCCTGTTCCAGATCCAGTGAGGTCCGAAGGCATTCTGCTTTGGTTTTCCTTGAAACGGGTTTGTGTATTCTTATTGTATTTCCCCATTTGTCCAAGTTAGTTTCAGCAGATTTTTGTTACTAGTGTTAAAGAATAATTTTTTTAAATGATAAAATCATGATTCTCATAGAAATAGAAAAATAACATGTATCAAAGATTTTACGAACTCTTTAGTTAAATTTCGAAACCAGATGTTAAAGTATGTTCAAAGGAGAATTTAAACAGACATATTTATTGATCAGGGATATTGAAATGAATTTGCAAGTGGATGCAAAACTGGCTTTTGTGAGAGAGGGAGAGTTGTCACCCACTGGACGGAATTTATATGTATGGCTCTGGGCAAGAATTATTTGCATTATTACTTGTTTTCCACAAGTTAATTTCAGTTCTCTAAAAAGTTGTAAAATAGCCTAGTCAAAGACAAAAGTGAATGTCTCTATATGATCAGCTAATCTTAGCATTATAGCATTTCATTGGAAGTATATACAGTAATTTCTTTTGCTTATTTATTTCATTGAAAGTATGTCCAGGAATCTCTTTTGCTTATTCCAACATCTTAAGTGTTTCCCCATACTGGTAAACAAATGCTTCCTGTATGAAGGAGAGTGTTTCTCATATCTTTGTGTGAGAAAGTTAGCCTCTTTCTGAAAGGCCTGCACCTGTGCAAGGACACAAGCACTCCTGTTGTTACAAAGGCCGAATCAACCCTGGTGACCAAAGGATAACAGAGCCCCCTATATCTAATCTCCCCAATCAGATTTTAGCCACTCAAGTACAGGAAACTTGCCTGATGCCCAGCTGCCCTTCACAAAGTGTGTTGTAAGAAGTAGGTTAGAGGGGGCTGGCCCTGTGGCCAAGTGGTTAAGTTCGAGCTCTCCACTTCGGCAGCCCAGGGTTTCGCCAGTTCAGATCCTGGGCCGCTCATCGAGCCGTGCTGAGGTGGCGTCCCACATAGCAGAACCAGAAGGACCTACAACTAGAGTACAGAACTGTGTACTGGTGGAGCTTTGGGGAGAAGGAAAAAAACAAGAAGACTGGCAACAGATGTTAGCTCAGGTGCCAAGCTTTAAAAACAAAATGAAGTAGGTTAGAGCAAATCAGTATTTGCTAATTGGTTGCTCGAAGTTAACAAATTGAAATAAATTTGTGACTGTTTAAAGATTTGAAACAATGACAACAACATAAACTAAAAATAAACACCCTAGCCTGCCATCTGGAATAATCAGAAACTGAAGATTCTTTGATCTAATAAATGTGTGCCGCTGAACTCACTATCAAGCATTTGAGGCTTTGCTATTATCATATGTCAGGAAGATTTAAAAATCTCTATAAAGCATATGAACAACTACATAATAAATATCACTTATGTTGTATTTTTTATATATAAAGAAAAAAGCCTTTAAAACTGGGAATTTGCATGCACAAAAGAGAGAAAATGAGCTGATTCTATCGTTTTTTTTTTTTCTTTTCCCCATCCCTCCTCCCAGCCCCATGTAAAGCCACATTTAACATGAAAGGATAAAGGATAATAGTGACCTGATAGTGGAGGCTGCTAAGCACCCACATAAATCCAGCTAATAATGAGACAATGAAAACAGAAGTTCTTCCTGGGAGCTGAGTGTGGGGGTTGGGCAAGCATGTCGGCCACAGAGATTAGCTGGTCCAGTCTGAGTGAGGAGACCAATCACTGACCACGGATCTCCCATCTCCAACAGCTGCCTGAATGCTTAGGCGTGCTCTAGGAGATAAATGTAAGACTGACGATCATAGATAACAAATTCAGGATGTTATGACAGCCAGCTGAGAACACACACATGGGTCTTAGGACTGCTCAGCCACAGGGCCCTGTCTCAGTGCCAGCCCCTGTTGTCCCTTCTTCCTTGTTGTGGAGGCTGTAGCCTTCTTTCTCGCCTTCCGGTGCTGCCATCTCACACTGTTGTCTCAGGCTCTGAAGACAAACCCACGACAAGGGATTTTCCTCTTCAGAAGTTTTGTTGTTAATCACTACCAGGAACTAAATTAGCATGAAAAACCATGACAGAAAAAAAGGAAGCTACAGTGTTCTTACGGTAGACTAGTTTCCGACTTAGCAAATGACAAGTGGCAAGTAATTTTAGGATTTCTCCCCTCTACTTTTATTTCTCAAATGGAGTGGAAGGGTGGAGTTTTCCTGCTGCCCTGCCCTCTTACTCCACATTTAGATATAAATGAAACCTGAAGATAAAATCCTGGTGTAAGAGTAGGTATCTCTTTGGTACAAGTGGTCATTTACATTTTTAAGAACTCCTGGAACTTTTCCTTGTTCGGGCAGAATCCTCTTGCAAAAGGGAGACCAATATAATCTCAGGTGGGTGAGTTACTTCCTTTCGGAAAGAGTGGAGGAAAAAACTCTCAGTTGTAGTTTAAATTTTGAAAGACAAATAAATCTTTAAAATTAAGAGAAGCTAAAAAATGCTGATTGTGGAAAATTTTGCCCAGTAATATGAGAATTTCGTTTAAGAAATTCTTCACAGGGCCAGCCCGGTGGCGCAGCGGTTAAGTTCGCACATTCTGCTTCTCCGCGGCCCAGGGTTCGCCGGTTTGAATCTCGGGTGCGGACACGGCATCGCTTGGCACCCCATGCTGTGGTAGGCGTCCCACATATAAAGTAGAGGAAGATGGGCACGGATGTTAGCCCAGGGCCAGGCTTCCTCAGCAAAAGAGAGGAGGACTGGCAGTAGTTAGCTCAGGGCTAATCTTCCTCAAAAAAAAAAAAAAAAGAAAGAAAGAAAGAAATTCTTTACAAACTGAGATGAAGTTGAATACTGGGCACCTAACTGAAAAGCAGTTCCCTTAGGGAGAAAGGGGTCTCCTCGGGTTGGAGTCAGAAAAGACCTTGCTCTGCTGTGACTAAAGAAATTACTCTGGGTATTAAATTAGGGGCACTACCTGATACTCGAACAACATGCAAACAATGTTTTGTGTGATTCTGCAGCGAAGTAAATTGAGTAATTGAAGACTGCAACTTAACTACCAGGAGAGCTGTGGATGGGACCGTGAGGGAGGTGAAGCTTACGTTTGACATCTTTCCCCTTCTGATGCTTTCATCCCCTTCAAGTTTCTTTATTGTCCAACATCTTTTATTTTCCATTCCTTCTCAGTTAGCTAATTTCTGGTAATGTTATTCCTAAGTTATTAATACAGTTGTATGTTACTTGGCAAGAGGTGCACATTCTGAGAAGTGTGTCGTCAGGCGGTTTCACTGTTTTGTGAACATCATGGAGAGTACTTACACGAACTTAGATGGTATAGCCTGCTGCACACCTAGACTATTTGGTACTAATCTTGTGGGACAACAGTCATATATATGTGGTCAGGTTTTTTTTTTAACTTTTTATTAAGATTATGGTAGTTTACAACCTTGTGAAATTCCAGTTGTACATTATTGTCAGTCATGTTGTAGCTGCACCACTTCACCCTTTGTGCCCTCCCCCCACCCCCTTTCCCCTGGTAACCACCAATCAGTTCACTTTGTCTCTATGTTTAACTTCCACCTATGAGTGGAGTCATACAGAGTTCATCTTTCTCCATCTGGCTTATTTCACTTAACATAATACCCTCAAGGTCCATCCATGTTGTTGTGAATGGGATATGTGGTCAGTTTTTGATTGAAACATTGTTATGCAGCACATTACTGTAATTTAAAAGTGGATTTTTAAACATGAAAACACTTATAGAGGTAAAGGAAAGACTAGTGGTGGAATTCAGGTAACATGGCAACCTGCAGGAGAGATTCTGTCTGAATGCCTCATATTCTAATATGTGAGCAATCCTCCTTTCTGCTTCTTGTTTCTTCTTAAGTTTGCTTACTCACTGCCACACATCTACAATTGCTATTGGCTCACCTCCTATTTAAAGTGTTGGAGGGGCCAGCCCTGTGGCTGAGTGTCTGCTTCAGCAACCCAGTGTTTGCAGGTTCAGATCCTGGGCACAGACCTACGCACTGCTCATCAAACTATCCTGTGGCAGCATCCTACATAGAAGCACTAGAATGACTTACAGCTAGAATATACAACTACGTACTGGGACTTTGGGGAGGAAAAAAAAAAGAGGAAGATTGGCAACAGATGTTTGCTCAGGGCCAATCTTCCTCACCAAAATAAATAAATAAATAGATAAAGTATTGGAATTTTGTTAAGTTCTTGTTTTCCTTTCTTCTTTCCAAACAGAATATGACAGAATCTGTTATCAGTTATTTATACCTTGACTGAAGCCTATTTACATTATTCTGCCACTCCCATACTTAATTGCATTTATCTTTTACTTTTGATAAACCTTCACCTAACAGACTTGGACACCTAGCCTGTGGCCCTGATGCAGACTTGACTGAGTTAAATAATCCTGATTCATGTCAAATGAAAGATAGGCACTCTAATCCCAAAGGAGGACCTCATGTACTCAGCAGAGGTGGTTGGATGCTATAATCCCGAGATGGGCTCCAAATGCACAGTAGATCCCTTCCAGCCAGCTCAGTGCTTACACAACTGATAAGCCCAGGAAGCAGGGAATCAGAGAATTTGCTTTTCTAATATGGGAAGATAGAGTTTATGATGTTTTGACATCAAAGACCATCGCACTTTTCCTCCCTCAGGGCTCATTTCCAAGAGCCTACTTAGAGTGTCCAAATGGTTTCCCCACTTGGTAGCAACACTTTTTCACTGAGCTTTCAAGCTTTGGTCTCTAATAATATATTTTTTTTCTTTAAAACCTTTGTGAAGTAAAAGGCTTTATCTCTTTTGAAAGGAATTTCAGATGTTAAGGGAGAGAAAGAAGAGTATTTGAGGAGTAGAGTAGTGAGTAGGGTACCTTTCCCATGGCTCCTGAAATGTTCCTCATCTGACCCCTGTACCCAGTTGAGAACCACTAAATCTTCTGCTTTACCATTAGCAAAGATTTGATCAAGTTTAACATCCTGTTCTGTGTGTTATTAAAGCAATATTAATTTTTATTGGCTCTCCAAATAGAAAATTATAATATAAAATATACTTATTCACACTGCGCATACCCTCAGAGGTACAATAAATATTCTATTGATCTATGCTTTGCTTTTCATTCTTTAACACTCATGAAATATGCTAATAATATAAACTTGAGAAAGTATAGAGAACATTGATGTTATTCCTTAAACTTCCACTCCAGTTTTCTTTATGTATATAATAGTTTGTACCCTAAGATTTCTTCAAGTGATAGTAAAGTAGCGTCATACTCAAAATATCAGCTGAGTTTTTTGTGCTGGTGATGACAATAGAAGGATATCAAGAAATGGGGAGTTAGGTTTCACTTCTGTATAGTGAACATAAAAGATTATTCACTGAAGGTGGGGGAGGCTATGCATGTGTGGGGCAGAGGTACACGGGAACTCTCTGTACTTGCCGCTAAATTTTGCTGTAAGCCTAAAACTGCTCTAAAATTAAAAAAAAAAAAAAAACCTGTTTAAAAAAAAGTTATCCGAGTAGGAGTGAAACAAGGTACCTGTGTAGGGTCTTCCCTGAGTCACGTTTTGATGTAAATAATAGTTAACATTTTTTCAGTTTTGAACTATGTGATAGACACTGTGCCACATGCCATAGGCACGACTGCTATTTGTCACCAGATATCTGTTCTTGTCTTCCACTTAGTAATAAAACTCTCCGTTTTTAGCTGGGCATTTGGCTCCCTAGCATAAAGGCTTTATTTCCTAGCTGCCTTTGCAGGTAGGTGTGCCAAATAACTAAATTTCTACCCATAGGGCACAACTGGAATTGGTGAGTACTTTTTCTGGGCAGTGAACCAAAGGGAGAGAGCGTATCTTTTCTGGCCTCTTCTTTCTAGCAGTTTGGCCGTTCAGCTGTGTTCCCACACTTAGCTGAAAGCACCCCCTCTCACTAGGTGCTGCCATAGAACTAACTTCTAACTGACAGGTGTCAGCAAAGGTAGCATTCTGGAAAATTGTCTTTAAAGGGTGGAGGCATCGTCTTCTTTACACCTTTGTTCTTTCTACTAGCTAGAAGCTTCAGCAGATTTGCAGGAAGATTGTGAGGATGGAAGAGCAACAAGATAGAAGACTGGGACCTTGAGGACTGCCGCTGCCCCACTTACTTCCAGCATAATATGCGTGAAAGAGAAGAACTTGCATCTGATTGAATTGTCTCTTGTTTTTAGGTTTCTGTGTTTCATACTAAACGGATCCTTGGAATCCATTAAGCACTTGGAAGTGGGTACTGTACCTAACAAGAACTAAAGTCGGGGTACTGGCCTAGAAGCTGGGCAGCAGGTGGTATAGACTCCAAATTGCAGCCTGATGATTTGATGGCAAACATTTCCCTGCTTTGGCTTGGAAAAGAGACCATGTGCTGACCGAGGCTGTAACTTTAGGGCCAATGACAGGAAAGATGAATGATTTCTGTGTGTATTGGCTCTTTCTTGACACTTTCAGCAAAGCCTTCCAGGCTTAAGACAGGCAGTATAGAAACAGACAGAAGGGCCTACAGTTTTGCTACAAGAGGCCTGCAGTCCAAGTTGATAATTTGGGCCCTTGCAGGGATGAGAAGAGCAACAGCTTCTGCACCCCAGCTCAACCAGGTGTAAGCAGTGGCTGAAAACCTACAGCTTTGGCAGGAGATAAAACTAGTGCCTCATTATACAAAAGCATCGACCAGCTGGCAGAGAGTAGATTAAGGGTTGTTTCTTCGCACTCAAGCCTGTTGTAAACAACTTCGAGGTAGCTGCCATTAAGATGAGAGAGAAACGGATGGGCAGAATACCACAACCGATAAGTAAAAGACAAGTCTTCAGGCTTAAAAACAAAAAACTCAATGTCTCGACAGGCTCTTTGGCTGTGATTACAAGGACAGAGAATTGACAGAAAGTAAATAAAAATGCCTTCCTATTTGAAAGAATTATATTGCCTGCAAGGAAGAACTTCTGAAATAGCAAAGCTAGAGGCCAGGAGGACTGGATTAGTCTTCTGGGGCTGCCATCAAAAAATACCACTGACTGGGGGGCTTAAACAACAGAAATGTATTTTCTCACAGTTCAGGAAGCTAGAAGTCCAGGGTGAAGATGTCAGCACATTTGGCTTCTCCTGAGGTCTCTCTCCTTGCTGTGTAGACAGCCACCTTCTCACTGTGTCCTCATGTGGCCTTTCCTCTCATGACTCTTTCTCTTTTCTTTCAAGGACTACCATCATATTGGATTAGGGCACCACCATTTTGACCTCATTTAACCTTAATTACTTCCTTAAAGGCCCTATCTCCAAATGTAGTCACATTGGGGGTTGGGGCTTCAACATGTGAAAGACAGTATGTCAACATATGAAGGACAGTAAGTGAAAGAGTTCATCATAGAGGGCAGACCCAAGGGCTGCCTGGTAGGCTAATCAAGGAACTCCATTCCCAGGCCAGGCAGCCTTTGCGATTCCTGCCCAGCAGAGTTCAATAATTTCTATGGACCAGTGCCGACGGGGTTGTGTGAAAGTTTCCTGTTTTCTCCTTAGTCAACTGGAATTTTAGTTAAAGTTATCCTAGTCCTGTTTTACCATTATATATTGAGTAAGAGTGAAGGGATAGGGCAAATAACTTTTAGTTTGTGGGTTTCTGGACTGTGAGTGGCTACATCTTGCCATGATGGGGATGAATGAATTGGCACCCAGAGATTCTGGGCTTTGAGTTTAATGCAGTAACCAGATGACACTTTGGAGTTATGTCTCAAAGGGAGGGGGTCTATATGTGGAAAGAAAGAGCATGTGTGGATGAGTGGACTGTGGCAAGGACTGCTACTTGTCTCCTGCTTTGTTTCTTGAAATAAAGACTACATTTCCCAGCATTCCTTGCAGCTGTGTAATTTTTCCAGGAAGTGTTTTTAAAAAGAATGGTCAAACCCTACCTTACTTTTTCTCCTTCCTGCTAGCTGGAATGAGGACATGATTTTTGGAGCTTCATTACCCATCTTAGACTATAGAGTAAAGCTGCCTGCTGTGCACAGCGGAGCAAAAAGATCTAAAGAGCTAGATCCCTGTCACTATGGAAGGACTACCTCTAGGCTTCTTTTACATGAGACAGAAATAAACTATACTTTTAAAGCCAGTATTATTTGGGGTATGCTGGATTATTCTGTTGTCAGTTTGGCTAACCTGGGAAATGTGTTTCCCAGAATCCCCTTTCCTCTATGATTCCAGGTTAGAGTTGACCACAGAGGAATTTGCTCATAATCTGGGAGGCAGAAGTGAAACAGTATCCACCCTTCTGAAGGCCTTCATTGTCCCAAGTGATGATGGGCAGACGTCAAGGTGCTCAGTGGGCTCAGCTTGTCCACTCTCCTCTGTTCTGTTGCAGGCTCTTTTTCTCAATCGCTGGCCCTGCTGATCAACAACCACCAGATTCCCAGCAGTGGACATACAGGGATTGTAGCTGTGGAGAGGCGTAGCTTCCCAGAGTGCTGAGTGAGCTCCCCATTTGCAGTCCCATTTTGGCTGACGGATGTGCTTGGCTTCTCTGATTTCCTTTCAAGCTTCAACTTGTCCACCCACCCCCAAGAGCTTTGGGAGGATTGCTTAGTTACTGTTCCTCCAGCTTCCCCTTCCGGATCTTTACTTCCTCAGCTCCTCCCACGGTTGTATAAGCTCTAATTCTGTAATAAGTCCGTCGTCTCATAATACACATAGTGACTCTATTCCCTCACTAAACCCTGACTGATACATTAGGTTTTAAAGCATATGTAGGCCACCTTTACGCGAATGGAGACACTTACATTATCTCATTAAATCTTCCTAAGAACCATAGGAAGGTGGCACTGTTATTATCTCCATTTTACTGATGTGGAAACAGGTTTAGAGAAGTTAAGTAACATTCTCACTGTCATGCAGCAAGTAAGTGGTGAAGCCGCGTTTGTAACCCAATCTCCCTGCAAGAGCCCGAGGGCTTAACCTCTATACCTCGATACATATACACCTACTGTCCAGGAGTACTACTCTGATTCTTATCCCTTGTTGCTTTAGAGTTTTTATCTTGAAAGTCCACCATGCTGAGCAGAGAACCATATTATATGAGCAACAATCAATAAAGATTGCCAATATGTCTCCAAGGTTTAGTTAATGGCTTGGGAAGGAATCAGTTTTATTGACAGTCTGTTAGTTTATTTCCACTTCAGCTCCCCAAAAGCAAAACCCCTGATTAGGTAGAGCTCCACTCAAGGCAAGAGCTAGGGTCCATTTTTTGGTTTTAACTAACATTTAAAAGCGGAGGAAAGATTAATGTCACATCCTTGGCATACTGCCTACTGAAGCAGAGACTTTAGGCTAAGTTGTCACAATCAGTTCTTGCATGTGTGTGTGTGTGTGTACAAAAAGAAGCATTAATTCTCATAATTTTTATTAAATCACCCTGAATTCAAGAGTTTCAAAACAACTTAACTCTTTAAAGAAGCTACACTTGAGAACAGACACATTTGCATACCTCATAGCCCTTTGTCTCAACATTTTAGTGTGTATTTCCTAGGAACAAGAATATTGTCTTATGTAACGATTGCACAGTTAATCCAATTCAAAAATTTAACATTGATACCTTATTCTGTGACTCATATTCTGATTTTGTCCCAGTAATGTCCTTTATGGGACTTTTTTTCTTTGAGGATAGTGTTGAGGATCACATATTACATTTAGTTGTCATGTCTCTTTCGTCTCCTTCAATCTGGAAAAGTTCCTTATTCTTTCTTTGCTTTTCATAATATCAACATTTTTTAAGAATCCATTCTATTTTATAGCACGTTTCTCAATTTGGGTTTGTCTTATGTTTCCTCATGATTTGATTCAGTTTACGCATTTCTGACTGAAAAATAACCAGTCATGAGTCCTTCTCAGGATATCAGTGCTGGTGGGCATACTATCTAATACTTGGTTTTATTCCCATTGCTTTCTACTGTGGTGCATATAGTTTTTCCCCCCAAACCCAGCCACAATCAATTCTGAAAGAACAAAAGAGCAGGTCAGAGCCTGAAATTGGGATGTACAGGAAAAGGAAGTCAGACCGGTCTGACATTTTTGGGATATACTATACACACATACCCACAGGGAAGGGAAGAAGAAGGTAGGCAACCTGGAGAGCTGCTAGAAAGTACTTCTGAAATCTTCTAGATCTCAGTACTTTATAGGGAGTCAGACACCTCATTTTCTTGGCCAGCGTGGAAGATACTGTCAGTACCATACCCGTATCCCCACAACACTTACTGTTTCTATACATACAGACAACGTCCTATGCTAGGGCATGACTCTGACTGAGGACTTTCTCTCAGCCCAGGTGCACAGCAGGTTCTGAGCGCTGAGGAGTTACCCCTGGGAGCAACTCTCAGCTAATGACTGATAAGAATTAGAGGATAAATACCCCAGCTTTCTCTCCCCCTGGTGGGACAACTCCCAGAGGCTCCCAAAATGATTGAGCCTCAGTTCCCCCAGTGGTAGCTTGGTAATTAATGTAACTGGTCTAGGCTTCCTCCCTTGCATATCTCAGTTCCCCACTCTCCTAAGAACGCTTCCTAGGATCACCTCTCAAACTACTTGCTTTGAAATCTTTTGCTTAGGGTCTGCTTCTAAAAAGTCTGCCCTAAGGCAGCTCAGTTGCGAGGCTGCCCCAACATAATTGGCTAAACGTCTCCATTTCATCAAGCTTGAAATTCTACCCCTTGGAAATGCATATGGGGTGTCAGTATTAACTTGGGAAATTCAAACACCCTGTGCAGGATTAAAAAGTGGCTGTTATATTTTTTAATATCTTAGGGAAAATTAGTTGGTTACATTGCTTTCCTTTTATTAATATTCAACCTGGCCTCAGTATTGCTCAGAAGAATCATTAACCACCAAGATGTAAGTAAATTCCTACTGCCTCATTCTGGAGCAGGCTTGATAGAGTTGTTTATGAAGGAGTATGATCTCAACTCTACATCTGCAATCTGGAGTTGAGAGACTGAATATACAGATAGACAATGGCCAGATCATATATAAAAACACATCTTTTGACCCATGAAGGGGATCAAAACATGCCACCCAAAATATGCCATTTGGCATATTTGTGAGCTGAAGGCAATTGAGAAAGAGTGATGCCGGAAGGACTCTGTGCCCTCTCCCTTTCCGCCTAAAAGCAGGTCACAAACTTCCCGTTAGAAAGGTGGCCTCCTGGCACCAGGAAGAAGAGAACATTCTTATCACCAGAGACAGAGAGTCACTTTCCCACAATTTACTGCCCGTAGAAACCTAAACCCCTTTTCTTTGTCTAGTCATTTCCCTGCATATTATAGCCCTTGGTTAAAAGGGTATATCAGGCTCTGAGTCTAACCACTTCTTTGGGGTATTCAGTTCTTCACTATGAAGCCCCCATGGCACGTAAAAATATTCACATCAAATACAATTTGTACGCTTTTCTCCTCTTACTTGGTCTTTCGTTAGCTTAATTTTCAGGGCCCAGTCACTGAACATAAGAGGGCAGGGGAAAAGTTTGTCCTCCTATATGCCAACAACCTGAAGCAAACTGCCCAGGAAACCGATCTATTATTTACAATGGCCAGCTCAGAAAGCTGGCATGCTATAAGTCAGACTTGCAGGAAGTCAGACTGCTATCTCTACTGATAGTTCGAGAAACTAACACCTAATCCTGTGACAACCAGCCTCAAATGGCCAGGACTTGATTAATAACTGAAGGCTTCCCTAATTTTTGTCCCCAATTCCAACTTACAACCAGCCAGAGAAAGCGATATATGCATCCCTAACCAATCACATAACCTGCCTCACTTCTAATCAGGCCACCTACAGGTTCCCCATGCCAACAGCCTTTATTTAGGGTATATTTGAAACCTTCCCCGTTTTCCACTATGAAGTTTTCCACTTGTTTGCCTGCCTTTGAGTCTCTGCTGTTGATACAAATAATCCACAATCAATCTACAAGTCAAAATTGGGGTGAGTTTATTATATGAGCCAGGTTGAAGACGACCTTCACCAAGGAAGGAAGCCCTCCAAAGAAATGGGGTATACAGAGTGGTTACATACTATCTTGTAACAAAGAGCATACATCACATATGACAGGAGTATCCTTTTTACAACAGTCATGAGCTATCTTGCTGGCACAGCAGTTCAGTGGTCACGAGGTGAGCACAGCAAGTGGGTGATCAGCAGCTCAGTGGTCAGGAGATGAGTTAAAGCAGGTCAGTAATTAATCCTTAGTTTCTGGGGAAAAAAATGCTTATCCTTAAAGAAATGCTGATATGGGGGAGGCAACATCCCTATCTGTAAGGTCATCATTTTTGGCTTTGGGACATTGTAAAAGTTTAAAGCAGATGTACAGTGCATGCTCAACAGGCCATGGCAGGCCTCTCTGGGGAAAAAATGTCAGGCCGAATTAGTTTTAAACCAAATGGCCTCCACATATAGTCCAATACATCCTATTGCTTGTCATTTATTCATCACTGCCAAAACATAGTAATGGTGGTTGACTCCCTTGCTATAGCAAGCTCTGAATAAGTAGCCTTCACTTGTTCTCATTTGGTTGGTCTTTGTTTATTTCCACAGTGCTGACCTTAGTAATTATACCTTATTCTCTCCATCTACATTGTCCTAATATGAATGCCTTGCTGTTTTAAAGTTCCAAATATAAGGATGTTTTCTATCCCTGGATAAGATTGCACTTTAATCTCAGCAATACTGCAATTTTAGGACACAAAGAGATAAAGGCAATAGGAATTCACATATCCTTTTCCCCCTATCAAATTCACTCACAAAAACAATATTTAGACATTACCAGTATTGCATTTGTCCCTCATCCTTTGCCTGAGGTGGGAATCTT